CTGGTTAGCAAGAAGGTGCTAGGTGAAACCGCCAAGAATCATTTTGGTACTGAGGTGAGTTTCCTTGCATGACTGGTATCCATTTGGTCTTGCGAAGAGAGATCAGGCTGACCCAATTCTCTATCTATCTAGGACCCTTACTTCGAAGAAGTTCCTGCTTCACGCCTCGGTCGTACATTTGGAAAAAAGACCAAAAAGCGCCGCAAGGCCATCCCGCCGGGCCTCTCTGAGAATGACAGCAAGGTCCTGACCAAGGTCAAACGGAGAGCCTACCAACTGGACTATGCTCTTTTCAGCTTGTGCGGGATCCGCTTCGGCTGGGGAAGTGTGGTTGGAATTATTCCATTGTAGGTTTCACCGGGATCTATTGCACTAGCACCGAGAGACCAATGCTAACAAATAAACTACAGCATCGGCGATGCTGGCGATGCTGCGCTCGCAATGATGGTTGTGAAATCTTGCGAAGGCATTGACGGTGGACTTCCTCAAGCTCTGCGCATGAAGATGTTGCTCAATGTGATAATGGATTTCTTCATTGGCCTTGTCCCTTTCATTGGTGATCTTGCCGATGCAGTGTACAAAGCGAATACCCGAAATGCCGTCCTTCTCGAAAGTCATCTGCGCCAAAAGGGCGCCAAGGCGTCCTCACAGCAGAGCAACAGACGACAGGATCGGATAGTTGAAATCGACAACAGTCTTCCCGATGCATTTGACAGGCAAGAAGAAGGAGTTGTTGGCGACCGTCCACCGGCCTATGATGATACGCGACCACCGGGTCATGGAGGAAGGAACAATGATGCCCCCCAGCCTCCAGCCAGGCCCCAGCCGGCCAAACAGTCCCGGAAGTCATTCGGTAGATGGTTTGGCGGAGCAGGTCATCCGGAAGAGGATTTGGAGCGAGGTGGAGCGAGGTAGCCTGTGGTTCATGAAGATATTGAGATCGTAATTTCAGATACCCCATGATTGTCGATAATTTCAGATAAAGCGGGATTTTCGTCTTTAGTTCATTTAATTTTGTCATGAATCAAGAATATTCCTCTTCAGCAGAGCTCCTCGGGTCGAGACCGCATACATCCGTAGCAGAATTGAGAGCTGTGGTTATCCTCTGCCTGATTTGCGACAGTAACTCCGGAATTACCCTTCACATTTCCCAGTAGACTAGCACAAAGAGCACAAGTTGGTGCACTATCAGAAGTGGAGGGATTGAGCTTGTTTGCGGTTCTGGCCACATTTGCCATGACACCAGGATACTTTGCGCCTTGGTTCTGAACATATCGCAGCATCAACTCATCAATAGAAAGGTTCTTGGTAAGAACATTTTCGGAAGGCGGTTGATCGGGTATGACAATATCAGAAAGCTCGGCACAGACACTCGCATATTGGAGCAACTCGGCCTTAAACAGATCACGGAGCGGATACTCGAACCTCACGCCCCAAGGAGACATGCCGTCGGATACCTGCCAGGTGAGGGAAGCACCACGTCCCTTGGCGACACCCGCAAGTGCTTTCGCAGCGAGACGGCTGTCCGAGTCACCCCACATCACAGATTCACATCCAGACTTCTTCGCAAATTCAACGACCAGTCTGGTCAGCAAGATATTGTCGACGTCGGTCCTGGACGTGGGGGTGGCAATGGATGCACGGAAGGCAGCTAAGCGCTCTTCATTCGACTGAGCGCTGTCGTCTATGAATTTTGATCCAGCATATTCCTGCAGAATCTCCTTCACCTCCGGGACATAGTCGAAGATGCTATGAAAAGGTATGCGAGTAATATCGTGCACCGGTAAATTCTTTTGAAGAGCCTTGTAGTTTTGATCAAAGGGAACGCCTGTAGCTGCAATGGTGGAAGGTTCGATGACCAAGATCTTGAAGTCGTATCCCAGAGGGCGTCCGTTGCTCAGGCGATTCTGTCGATCGGAATTCAATATATGCATCAAGACCGACGAGGAAACACCGAGAGACACAGGGAGAAGCAACTGGTGTTTGGGGCCATCTAGACCAAAAGCTCTATAGACGCTCAAACGAGACTGGACCTTGTGTGCTATAAAACGTCTAAAGCATGAGCTAGAAAAGGAAAAAAAGTCAGAAACTATGAGCTGGAGGGGTTGTAGATTGCCGACTTGTCGCGTACCTGCAAAGCTGCCTCTTGCGGACAGTGAGCTCGAATTCTGCATCCTTGCATTCCATGCATGATTTGTTCAGTTCCTTTGCTGGCATGATGACTGTAAAGTAATGACTATTAAACCTGGACTCTGGACTGGACTTCGAAAAAAAAAAGTAGACCGAAGTTGGAAACTAAAAAATAGTGGCGGTGCCCGCTTAGATAATAGCCACGCGCGGCTTCCCCGGTTTGGGGGCCATTGGGTGAAGAGAAGAACACCTTAGCCTCACGATTTTCTAACACAAGACACTTTACCGTATTCGGCTCTCTTTCTTCTTTTAGATCCGTTCTTTGGTGCTGCGTGGTCTTAAAGACCTGATCCCTAATCCCGGAGCCTAGTCTCGCTTCAACTCTACGGTCGCCATGAAGGGCTGGCTCCAGACCTTGGGCTTGACAGCCCTATTAGCAAGCCATGCGCTTGCCAATGATGCTGAACTGGTATGTCCCTACACTCCATTCAATGGTTAATTGTCAGAAGCTAACGTCGTTCTGTAGAAATCCGACGATGCGCACCGACAACGATGCTCAGGGATGTACAGTCGCAAAGCTTGGGGAGGAGATGTTGACCCCTTCATTTTGGTGAAATTCACCAAGTCGGAAGTCAAGGATAGTGATCCTTTGGCTAGTTTGGTGATATTTGAATGGACCGATGAGAGTTTGATTGGCCAGTACCGGTCCGGCGATGCTGAGGTATGTCTGTCAACCCCGTGGGAACCACCGACGCGGCTAATCATTGGGTTTAGGTCAAAGAAACAATTTGCGATGCCTCCAACGTTGAGGCAAAGATCTGCACGAAAGAACAGCTCGGCTCTTTTGTTCTCACCAGCAATGCCACCGACGTCTCCTCAAGCCCTATCATCTCGAAAGCCATCCACTTAAACAACCCCGACGCCGTGAAATACCCTGTCAGAAAGACTGGATTCTACTGCGTGAGCACCTATGCATACTCCGGCGAAGACTACAAAGCAGTGGTCACCTTCCGAAACTCATACGGCGAGCTTCCCGCTGCACAAATCGCAAAGCTTCCATTTTATGGGGCCCTGACGATCGTGTATGCTGTTATTGGAGTGTATGTGACTCGCAGAATCGATGGACTTGATAACTTTTCGAGTAAATGCTTACGCAAAATTTTAGCTTCTGGGGCTTCCTCTACGTGCAGAACCGTTATGACATTTGTACGTCGAGCTTCCTTCTCCTGTCCGAGCCATGCTAACACTGGATAGTGCCCGTCCAAAACTATATCACTGCAATTATCGTGTTCTTGATCGTCGAGCAGCTGATGACCTGGGGATTCTACGGTAAGATACAACAATCGATTCCTTGCTTGACTCCATCTGACTTTCCTAGAATACCAAAACCGCCATGGTCTAAATGGCGGCGCAAAGGCACTCATGGTCATTGTAGCAGTACTCAACGCGGGCAGAAACGCTTTCTCTTTCTTCCTCCTCCTAATTGTCTGCATGGGCTACGGCGTGGTCAAGCATTCATTAGGCCGAACCATGATCTTTGTTCGCATCCTTGCCATTGGTCACTTTGTGTTCGCGGTCGTCTACTCAGTTGCCAGTCTTTCGATCACCCCTGATAGCGCCGGTCCTCTGGTACTTCTGATTGTTCTGCCCCTTGCCGGAACATTGACAGCTTTCTACGTGTGGACCTTGAATTCCCTGAACGCGACGATGAAGGATCTTATCGACAGAAAGCAAAAGACCAAGGCGATGATGTACAAGAAGCTGTGGTGGTGTATCCTCGGCAGCATCGTTGTGATCTTCGGTTTCTTCTTTATCAACTCATTCGCTTTCGCTGGACGCAGTGACGCCAGCTTTGTGCCCGAGCACTGGAAGGCCAGATGGTTCGTTCTTGATGGCTGGCTCAACCTGGTCTACCTATTCGATATCGGATTCGTGGCTTACCTGTGGCGACCGACTGTCAACAACCGTCGCTTCGCCATGAGTGATGAGGTATGGAGCTCTTCCCTAAATAACCAAGAGCAAAATCAGGGTACTAATGTTTCTTACAGCTTGCTCAAGACGACGATGGATTCGAGATTCGGTCATTCGGCAGTGGGTTGGATGAGGAAGATGCCTATGATGCTCCCCGGATTATCCTGGCAGCTCAGCCGCCGAGGGCCGTCGTGATCTCTCCCCAGTTCCTCCCAAGCCCTTCTCCTCCTCGGCGCCCCACAATCGTGACTCAGTCGAGGAAGAGACAATATTCGCAGTCGGCGAAGAGGATGGTGAGAGGTGGTCCGATGATGAGTCGCCTCGCAATTCAAGCGAGAGACAGAGACTCACCGGCAAGGACAAGGATTAGACTGAACATTGACTGTCTTTTTTTTTAATACTAATGCTGTTCCTGGTTAGCGTAAAAGCCGATCAGGGCCAGACATCTGGTGAATCAGTGGGGTTGTCATTTCACTCAATGTACAACCTGCCTCCAGGGCAAGGATGCAAGCATGTCATGGCGTTGGTCTTTCCTTCACACTTATGTTGAATACTTAGTTCCTGGCTCGCTTTTTAGTTATATTATTGCCTTATACGTGTTGCTTAGCTGCAATAATTCCTCAAGACATCTCCCGAAGCCAATAAGATAGCGAAAGTCCAAATACATCTACATGGAAGATTCAAAATATAGCACCTCTTGGAGCTTGGTATATTACATAGCAGATAGTACATGTAGTTTGGCGTAATTGCCTTGAGATGAGGTATTATTCACAGCCCCCTGAACATTATTGCGGTACGGTATGAATTTATCCGAATCACAAATGCTTTACGACAGGTAGAATCCCATTCTTTGACTATCACTGCCCGGTATCATTCTCATTCTTCTTGCTACGATCACTATGGATTTTGATCATCTTGCCGAAAAGAAGCAAGAACAGAAGGCTGCTGCTTGGTTGAATCTTTGGTTGAGCTGGAGCCCAGAAATTCTGTCTATGCAGCTTGCTAAGAAGCATCGACCTGGTGAAACTATATCTGCGTGTCTATGGAGAAGTGGTGCTTTCAATATATGCTATCGGGTCAGATATGATGATGGTCCAGATGTCATTGTTCGTTTCGCTGCCCTTGGAAGGCCTATTCTCCGCAGGGAGAAAGTCCAAATTAAAGTTGCAACAATGAAGTACATACGCAAGCACACTTCAATACCTGTTCCTGAAGTGTTCGGCTCCGGTATCTGTTGGGCGGGCACTTACATTGTATGTCATTTCTCGAAGGAGTACCATTATCACAGCTCCTCAAAGATCCTTCTTCGGGAGGAAGGCCAGTCCTGAACCCGCAAGTAAGCGATCGGAACTTGAAGCGGGCTTATCGTGAAATGGCCACGCTTGTCCTCGAGCTGTCCAAGCATGAATTTGATTCTATTGGTGCGCTTGAGGAAAATGAGGGGGGCTTCTTTGTCGCCAGGCGACCTCTCACCTTCAACATGAATGAGTTAATGGTGTCTGCAAATTTACCAGAAGCAGTTTTCCCTTCACACACCTTCAGGTCAGCCACGGACTACTTCAAGGCACTTGCTATGCAGCACCTCTTCCATCTTCGATTGCAGGAATGAGATGCTGTTAGCAGCGAGGAGGACTGTCGGAGGAAATTCACTGCTCGTTGTTTATTCCTGGATATCACGAAGAAACTCTGCACTGAATATCCTCAAGGGCCATTTCGGCTATGTTGTGACGACTTTCATCCTTCAAATGTCCTGATAGATCTTGATACCTCCCGTGTCTCGGGGGTTATTGACTGGGAGTTTACATATGCTGCGCCTGCTGAATTTACATGGGTAGCTCCATGGTGGCTCTTGTTGCAATCCCGGAGGACTGGGAGCGTGATCTCAACATGTTCTTGGCTCGATATTCTCCCAGACTTCGTGCCTTTTTGGAAGTCCTGGGTGACCACGAAAGCAAGTTGATAGAACAACAACTCCTCTCTGAGTCACAGTGCCTGTCGCCACGGATGGAAGACTCTATGAAGACAGGGTTATTTTGGGTCTGTTTAGCCGCAAGATACAGCTCCATGTTCGATGAAATCTATTGGACATTCATCGACCATCGGTATCATGGAACCTTTACTTCTCTCGATGACCGTATACGACTTCTGGACGAAGAACAACAGCAAGAGATGAACGAGCTTGTGAGGCTCAAGACTGACCAGTACAAGGACACAGAGAATATTGACGATCACTATCCAATTGATAAGCTACTTGAATTATGATTGTGTTGATACTCGAGACGTTATTACCCTCTGGAAGGCCTTTTTGGATGTCTTTTTCCCTTGGTGCTATAGAAGGATAATATCATACTATTCAATCTCATAATTTACCCGTGGACCTACATTTCAAGGATGAGAGCCTTGTTACGTTAGAAATGTACCTAGAAGAGTTGACTCATTCCAATATTGCAAGTTGATATTTCCTTGCTGAAAAGGACTTTCCGGTGAATTGACTCTGTCTTTTTATGTGTTTTTTCTCCTGGTGTGATAGAAAGATAATAGTCTCTCTTTACTCTGAATTATAACCTTGAAGTATAGACGACGGCCATCCATAGGATTCCAAAGGTGGAGCTTTGGCCCTAGACGACTTTTGAGTCATACGGAGCCTCATGCGCTAGTCTCCTCTCATCCTTAGATATAAATTGGATTTCAATGCAATTAATATTTCTGAGCTGAAAAGGTCCTTGGAAGTGTTTTGACCCCAGTGCTCTATACTCCGATAAAAGGAAGCTTATCGCTTGCCCCACAGGTCCAGCTCTTGCCAAACAGATACCCAAGCCCAACCCTTCTCTGCAGTGAGGCAGTATCAGCATCTTACACATGCACCCGGCATCTAAGCATACACAATGGCACTAGATACACACCCCCACCCCGCAACCTCCTCTTCCGACAAAGAAAGCGACAATGACAACACAAGCACAGCCACCGCAAAGCCAGAACCCCAATCAACAGAACCGCATCCCAGAACAAGCACGACACTCTCAGCCCAGCTAAATCAAGAATGTAATGACCTACTCTCCCAAATCGACACCTACCAATCCCTCCTCGCATCCACACTGCGGAATCCACAGCTCGTCGAGGTGCGCCAATTCCGCTCCAGCGTAGTCTCCGAGCTGAGGATGCTGGAGAAGCTAGGACGACAGATTGAGGAGGCGATTGGAGGGACGAACGCAGAACCTGAAACAAGTCGGACAGAAGATGGGACGACACAACCACCGGGTGATCCGGATTTGGAAATGCGGTTGGTGCATGCGCTGCGCTCATCGAATTTGCCGTTCTACCAGGCTGTCTGGAGGATCGCGAGTGGGTCTTGTTCTGGGTTGGTTGCGCTTGGCAAGAGGTTTTACTGGGATGGGGAGACGAAGGCGTCGGAGAGGAAGAGTGTGAGTGGGAAGGGGAAGGGTGGTGCTGCGCAGCCGGAGAAACAGCCTAACAAAGATAAGCGCAAGAGTGTGTTTGTGGATATTGTGGCTGACGATGGGGCGGAGTGGGTGAAGGTGTCTACTCTCTCTGAGAGTCGGCTTTTGTTTGAAATGGCGAAGAAGGGATGGGAGGGTGATAGTGATGAGGATGAGTGGTCTGATGGGGGTAAAGGGCGGACTATTTTGCAAAATTTTGATGAGGATGATGATGGGGATGATGATGATGAGCTGGAGCTCATTAAGCTAGCTCGGGATCTAAAGAAGGCGTCTGATGCTACGCGCGTTAGATATAGACATCCTCGGCTACGGGTTGTTATACCTAAGATTGAAGAGGGAAGTGTTCCTGAAATTGACGCTGTCTTGAACGAGATACGGAGCTATGGTATTCGCGTTGACTGCCAAGGGAGTCTGCCAGCAGAGACTCCCACCGGGCTAGCCCATCTCCTGCCTCAACCGTTCAAAAACTTTACTTCGACTCTGAATGTCGACTGCACTTTACTCCTTGCCTTGGTCTCTGACTTGTCTCACATCAAGGACATCCCACTATCACCTCATTTCCATAGAGCTATCGTTCGACAAATCGAAGTTGAGCGGGAAAAACCACTGCTCACTTCCGAGCTCTGGCCGGCTATGGATGGTCGTGAGCTCGTATCCACCACAGAGGCTGCAGTGCGCTTCCGGGAAATTGTCGAAACCATTGGAACAGAAACGGAGAAGAGCCGGACTCGCATGTTGCTGGGAGATCCACCATACGAACAACTCGATCGTGAGGCTATTCTCCAGAAGTTCCAAGAATTGTCTGATTATAAGGTGCCCGCCGATTGGAAGATCCCCATCAAGGTGGTTGATGCCCAGCAAGTGATTGATGCGGCCAAGACAGAGGGTGGCCTTCATCCGGTGGTACAGGAAGTTGGGGAAGGCCTATCGGATATCAATCATAGCGTGTTTTTGTACGGTTGGGTCACCGATTTGACGACCATTTCCAGCAATCGCACAATCGACAAGCAAATCGAGGCCACCGTCGAGGACAGCAGGAAAGACGATGATGGCCTACAAGGCCCTGACGTTTGGATCTGTGACACAGCGCGAAGTCTGGTTGGCAAAGACAAAGATCGAAAAGCATAAGCATAGAGGTTCGGTCATCTGCTAGACGTGAAATAGAAAGCGTTTTTCTTCAGCTTGAGAATTTATGAACACGGTGCCATTATTCTGCAGGGCATCCAGTCATGCAGTGTGTTTGTAGTCAGTGACTGGCTGAGAGTTTGAAAGAAAATAGGATATTTGGTCCTTTCCATCGTGCCATCCGATTTATTTATTTTTCTGAAGATTTGCCATGGTCGTCTGGGACATAGAAGATAATTTCCTTGTCGGCACTGGCGATCATGTTGTAACGCGGGTTGTATTCCACCATTGACGCGCAGTTTGGAGCAGGCAATCTAGCCGAGGGCTGCAGTGTGATGTCTCCCCCGCCGATCTGTCCCAAGTCCCACACGAGCATACCGTGCTGATCACCATTACCTCCAATAACGTATCGGCCATCGGGACTGAAACAAGCGTCGCCTTGCCCGAGAGGCTTGCCAGTCGTGGACACTGGTGCAGCACGCCCAGACGCTCCGCTCTTGCCGGCCAGGAAGGCCTTGAGTGTGCCATCAAAGGCGTCTAGAACAAAGTGACCATGGTAGTCTGTTCCAAGCATCAAATATTTGCCATCGTTGGAGAACTCCAACCGCGTCCATGCACGTCCCCGTGTCGACGGTGTGAATCTCTCTTCGTATGGCGCAAGGTCAAAGGTGGAGAAGGGCGACTTGTCAAAGTTGCGGAAGTCGTATAGAAGCACCGCAGCTGTGGATTGCGAGGCGATTGCAATGACCGTACCCGAAGGATCAAAGGCGGCAAGATATGGTGTCGCGAGGTTAAGCTTGCCCTGCGCATTTCTCGAATTCAAGTCCCACAGTGTCACGGTATCATCCTTGGAGCAGGACATGAAGGCGTCGCTTGCGGGGGATTGAGCTAGGCAAGTTACTTGGTCGTTATTGCCGGTGAAATATCGGATGTATCCCTCGTTGTGAAGGTCCAGTAAGCGCAAATTATCTGTGAATGGTGAGCTAGGTAGCCAAAAGCAAGGCCATTGGGTCACATACTATCAATCTTGGTACTCGCGTGGAGGACCTGGCGAGAGTGATGGGTGAACCTGGCAAGATGAACACCATATTTCTTGCTAGCAACGGATTTGTTGAATTTGCCCTCCTTCACGTCATAAACATGCATACTGTCATCGTTACCGGCGCCGATTAGAACATCGCCCTGGTCGTCAAAGTCCAAAGAGGTCACGTATTTGGACGGGTCTTTTTTACAAGGGTGGAATCCCTATAGAGCAGCCTTATCAGAATGGTGCCATAATTTTAGAGTTCATTTGGACGTACCCTTGATGGGCGGAAGGTGTCAATAATATCCGTGATTTTCTGCGACTTGAGGGGAGCTTGGGCGGCGGGTGGACCCTGCTGAGGTGTTGATTGGCCTTCGGTCATGGCTGTGTGGTTGACCGGTAAAATGAGAGGTTGAGAATATTCAAATTATCAGCCAGGGATTGCAAATTGCAAATAACAAAGTGAACAGAATGTGAGAGAGAGGATAGAGCCAGGACATAGAAATCATAAGCTCCGAGATGAAGCTCCGCTGGGCTTTTTTGCGCCCCTCACCGCCTCGGCTGACATAAAAACTCCGGGGTCCGACGCCGGAGGTCCCAGGCGCAATTGACCAATGAGCGTTTAACCGAGTCCCAGTTCGCCGCATGTAAGCTTTTATGTCCACGGTTATCTCAGGGCGCGTATTGACCCAACTTCTTCAATATCTGGGCCTGGGTGAAAATATCGTGCATTCATTCATTTTTTCACACTACCTCAGTTGTGACTTGGCTATACCAGCCTTAATAAATTCGCACATATCCCACAGAATCTCCGCTGCTGGCCGCGATCATCACATCTTGCGGGTCCGATCTTCCTCCGCTAACCGACAAACCTGAGCAAGTCATCACACAGTCAAAGTATCGCATATAAGACGATATGTCTACTACTGGAGGGTATCTTATATCTATGTGCGGGAAGGTGTACAAAGCTCGCGCTAACAATTGTGGTTGAACAGCGCGTTCATTGCAGGTGGCATTGCAGCATGTGGTGCAGTCACCGTCACCCACAGTTTCGAGACGGTCAAGATCCGGTTGGTTTTCTAATACTCCGGGTATGCTGTCATAATACTGATAGACAAATTGGATATCAGGCTTCAACTGCAGGGTGAATTGCAGACCAAAAATGAGGCAGTGAAAATGTACAAGGGCCCGTTGCACGGCATCAAAGTCATTTTGCAAAATGAAGGGCCTCGGGGTCTGTTCCGGGGTATCGGATCTGCTGTATGTGATGTCCCCTCGAAACTGGATATCAAGGCGCATCAACTAACATCCGGGTCATGTAGTATATTTACCAAGTCTTGCTAAACGGCTGCCGTCTGGGCTTCTACGAACCTATCCGCTCGACCCTCACTACTGCCATTTACAATGACCCCAAGGTCCAATCCCTCGCTGCCAATGTTGTCGCCGGAGCTGCTTCAGGTGTCATTGGTGCCGCAGCCGGGTCGCCTTTCTTCCTTGTGAAGACCCGTCTTCAGTCCTACTCACCGTTCCTTCCCGTCGGCACCCAGCACAACTATAAGAACTCATTTGATGGCCTTAGCAAGATCTACAAGGGCGAGGGCATCAAGGGTATCTACCGTGGTGTTGGCGCTGCTATGATCCGCACCAGTTTCGGC